TTACTGTGTTTGTAGATAGGGCAAAAGGATTAAGCGTTTTGAACGATGAAACTATCGTATAAAACCACGCGTGCTTGACCTATTACAACTTTTGTTTACTGGAAGGCTTGCTCTCCAGTTTTGTGTTGCTAAGCGGTATCCAAGCACGTGACCACTAGCTGCAAAGGGCCTATTCAATACCATTTAGCCTTATGCCTCATAGGTCATTGACTCATAGACCACAAGGGGGTGAAGTCTAATTACTAAATAGATGGTTTATAAATTAGTTTATAAAATAAAATAATGTAGTTTGTATTAAGATCACTTACCTATCTGATCTTCCCTTAAAGCCTTAATGGTATGCTCAAGCTGTTCTCGTCCTTCTTGAGATAACAGCATATCTGTGGGATTCACATAACAGTTTGAGATAAAGACGTCCTCAGGGAGGGTGGGAGAGCTGGGTGGGGAAGCTGCTTAGGGGAGCTGGGGAGTGCACTTGCGCAACATATTTTTTTAAACTACTTAGCGGCTACAAGTTTCTTATTTCCTAAAAAAACTTCACCACATTTAATCACAACCCAGAGTTTATGCCCTTAACCAGATTTTGATCTTTTGTTACAAGTTAAGAGTGCTTAGGTATCTTTCTCTGTGCTCGTGATTTTACTTAACAAATAGATCAGGCTTAGCTATGTTCTGTTCTCTGATAAAACACTCCTGAAGCTGTAGAACACTCAAAAAGTTATAGAAATCTTTTTTCGTGTCCTACAGCTCCAGTCGTGTTTTATCAGAGAACAGAACATAGCTAAGCCTGATCTATTCGCTTTATATAATAGATTTTTACGAGAAAAATAGCGTAAAATTACACACACACACAAAAAAAGGTTTGTTTACAAAAAGAGCGCGCGTCTGTCGTCAAAATCACGTAAACAAATTTGATCTATGCGATGATTGGCTAAAAACGCGACATATGGCTATCTGATTGGTCCAGTTTTTGACAGGTAATGACAGCTCTATTCAGGCTGTGGCATACAACTGGTTTATCGCATTTGTTCAACAAGAAAGGAGAATTGCTCGTAAATCTTAGAAAAACAAGCCAAAGAAAACAAGCATTTAGCTGCTAGAAAAAAAGAAAATTCAAGTACTGAAGAGTTTGAAAAACATTTTCAATGTTCAGATCGTTTAATGGACATTTAACCTGCAAAAACACTCAAGAAAACCAGCTTATGAACACTTTGAATGCACAAGGAGCCGAGAAAATGAAAAATATCTTGATCTTCGATCGAAACTGGAAGAAAGCTAGCAGTGAAATACTTGGAAAACTGTTTTTAGTTGATCCTGAACTATAAGTGAAAACTTTGTGACACTTGTCGTAGTATTTTGTACTCGTAGTTTCGGGCTATTGGAAAACAAATTTCGGTAAAAAATTAACCGTAACTGGAGCGTAAAATTGCCGATGCTCGTTTGTAAAGTAAGCTTAATAAGTTTCTTACCATAGATTTGTTCATTCTTAGACTATGGAAAATGTTTAAAATAATTTTTTGACTTCTCTAACGCCATCAGGGGTCAAGCAAAAAGATTCTAGTTTAGCGAAATAAGGTCAGTGTAATAGTCGCAGCACAAGCGAAAAAAAGCTTTACTCGTCGAAATGTAGTACCAATCAAAAGTGCTTCAAAACGACGTATTTTCCTTTCTTTAGAGGAAAGACATATTTTTAATAAAAATCAATAAATGACTTAAATTTAAAATGTGAAAATGCTTTAAATTGAAAACCGAATTCCTGTGACGTCATTTCTATGTTTAATTTTGTATAGAAAACATGGTTCTCTGATAAAACATAGCTCTTCAGCCAATCAGAGCGCGCGTCCGTGAAAATCTATTATATAAACATTGATAAAATTAAATGCTAAGTGCTATTACAGTAGTCGTGTGTTGAATCCCCCAACATATAATCTAAAGCAATTTACCATTCATTTTCTTTCCTTCCCTTTTATCCTCTCTCTTTCATTCCTTTTCGTTCTTTCCTTTATCATCCAAAATATCCTCTTTGTTTTACATGTATTTTACCTTTGAATATTTTCAAAACCCTCCATGGCTGATCCAGTGTAATAGCCAGTCCAACAGCATCAATGTACTTTTTATCGTATAAAAGATTAGAAAGTTCTTGCTCCCTTTAAGCAACAAATTAAAACAATCACTTACTACTGACAATTTTGTTAAAAAAGATATAGTAAATGGCACAAGTTGTGCACGACTAAAAACTCTGTAAATGAACCTACATTAAAATCGTTTTTTCTGATTCCTCGTGAGCTTGTTGCTGCTCCTCTAGGGTAACATCCTACGATGGAAAATAAAATGCAAGTTCACTCTGTCCAATTATAAAGCTGATTGCAATGATGGTGATAAATAAATATAAGATTAAGAGATGATGAATATAACTGTGATAATGATGACAGTGATAGTGACAATGATAATAACATTATAAGTGTATGAGAATATATATGAAATATATATTTGTACTGCGGTTGTAATGCATCAAATAATGACATTATTGCTGATGGCGTCAATGATAATATTGTGATGACAATGTGCTGATGATAGTAACAACAATGTTGATGATGCTGATTATTTTCACACATGTTTAGTTTCTATGGTATTTTAGAAGAATGAATCCTTGGTAAATGATTTAATACCTTCCATATATTGATTACTGAGTCAGCGCCGCCAGATAGAAGTAACTCCTCTGTCCTATTAGCTGCAATACACCACACCTGCAAGAAAAAAAATATAGCAACAGTTACACACCCAGTAAACTCTTTCCAATCCCACATGTCCGGGGGTTTTGTCTTCCTTCAATAGACTCTTACTGATATGGCAGTTATCTTGAGTTATTAGAAAATATATGAAGCATGGAGTGGCTGGGTTACTGTATGTTTACGAAAAAATGAAGTCTTGGTGTTTAGCATAATTTTCCAATTATCAGCAAATTCAATTGATTTTTAGATGTGTTTCTTATTGAAAAGTGTTAACTTAATAAAAATACACACTGACAGCTGTGTAGTAAATATATATAATTATAAAAGCTGCCCCCTTGTCATCCCATAAATATCTAAATAAAAACAAATAATTTGAGACGGCTGTCATATCGATAACTATGCAAATGTAATGTTGAAGGACAACAAGGACAACAAATTTTTTTTAATAATTAAGGGGGTACGGTGATAAAAGATATCAAAGCTCTGTTTACAAAAATAACTTCCAGATATAATACTATAATGCTATAATATTCTATTATTATACACTACCCATAAAATGAAATTGAAACTTGCAATATAATTGTGTAAGAAGTCATTCTAAGTATATAATATATCTCCTTCTGAGCAGACAAAATGCAGCTTTAAAATGAAGATGGAATCAGTATTTTTTAGGCAAGTGCTGTCATAAGAGTTATTTAAGAAGGTTGAATGACCTTTGCAACCAAAATCCCTTGTGAAATGATTGAGTGTGTATGGTAAGTTCATAAGCATACTATAGATAGAGATTTCAATAGATGAAAGCAAAAACTATTAAAGGTACCTTGTCATTATGTTGATCAAACGTTTTGACACATTCATTTGTCTTTATGGTCCACAGCTTCACCAAGCCATCTGATCCACTTTAAACAGATCAAAAGTAACTATTAGCATGACTGATTATGGAAAGCTAACATCATTGTTATCATCGTCATCATCATCATCACTGACACATCATCCCATCCTCATCATCAAATCAACACCGTCATGATCCTTTGGCCACCATTAACAACTAATAGAAAATGATCACTTATACCCACTTGACCATTCAGTATCCAGTAAATCAGTGCTGTATATGCCAAAAACAAACTTAGGTGTCAAGTGGCCTTAGACATTAGATATTAGTATTAACAACTACTGCACAGTAGGGTATTAATATTCATATCCATGATCACGATCCTGCTGCTAATAATGATATCAGGATGACTGAAAAAATCTCTCTGAGCTGATCTGCTCAAATTGGAATTTACTTTGTTGGGTTTTCTAAAAAGGAAAAGCTAAGACCCTAGACAAACTCTATTCGCATGTGACCCCAAGTCCAGGAACCCATCCTGGGACGCCAGGCGTGAGAGGTTGGTGTACTACTGTTATGTCACTCTTGATTCCTTTCTGACTGACACTTTTTTGCATTTGTCATTGTTATCATTGGTCGTCATCTCCAATAACCATAGCATCATTAACATCAAATAAACATATTTAAAACTGTAATTGTTAAAGCAAGTAGTTATATTATATTTTACACCAACCTTGACACAAGCTGCATTCCCCTGGACACAAACATCACCTTCAGGACAGAACTGCTGTGACCTTCAAATGTCTTGACACATGTCATGTCTGACAGGGCCCATATCTTGATGGTGCTGTCCCCTGATGCAGAAACAATGCACTGGTCCACTGGTGAAAATTGTACACACCATACCCCTCTTTTATGGCCTCTTAACGTACCCAGCAGAGTACCATCTTTGGTACGCCATACCTTAGGAAAATAATATCGTAAAAACAATGGTAAAAACTTCCTTATGCCATTACATGCCATTGCACTGCAATATACTGCATTCCTCTATATTCCTTTTATTCGTTAAATGAAATTCCTTTCTTCTCCTGTACTCTACATCCCTTCTATTTTTTCACATTCTTTTTCCTTATGTTAGAGGGTCAAAGTAACCCCATGTGCTAGTTAGAAACCTCTCCTCTTCATTTCACATTTTCTACTTAATTGCAATCCCCTCCACTGTCCTCCCCAGCTATCCACCCAAGTCTCCTCTATTTTATTGCTTCTTCTCTTCCTAACAAAGCTATTCGAAGGTCAGAATGCTCTCCTGTTGTGTCATTGCAATGGGATACAATGTATCTCTACTGGTACATACTGCTTTTCATGAGGGTTTAATGGAAGTAGAACATTACCTTGGCTGTTTTGTCCTGAGATCCAGTAGCAAGAAGCTTGTCATTTGGAGAAACTGCAACTGAATTGACATCCTAGAAAAGGAACACTGGAGATTAGATCTGAATAAAAACGTGACCAAGGCAGAATGAGAACGTGTTAGCTCTTACCTTGTCATGCACTTTCTCAGTCACCTTAACTATCATGTTTGCAACAGACAAGTCCTGCTTGCAAGAATAAGGTCAAGATAAGATTTGGTATACACCTAATACACCTAATCGGCTAACGTGTTGCTATGTATGTTACCACCCAATTCAAACCTTCTGGGAATAGAAGCGTTTGTCTCTATGAATTCAACTCTGAAACCAAAATATAACGAACAATGAAACTTATTCCCATGTGGTTTGAATCGGGTGGAAACATTTATAGCAACACGTTAGCCAATTAGGTCTATTGAAAGAATGTTGTCGGGTTCAAAAAAAGATTATATCATCAAAGCTAAGACCGAAGGGGAGCATGGGAAGACAAACAATTATGCTAATTTCATGAGTTTTACAGTTTTCCCTGCCTGTGCACATTTTATGCATCATGGCTTTGGCACGTTGTTAATCTAGGTTGACCAACTTGGCTCTACTCTGCATTTTTACATGTCTACATGCAAATATAATGCACATTTCCGAGTAACCAAAATCCTTTTTAGTCTTAGCTTCTATGACATGACCTTCTTGAACCTGACTACATTTTTTCAATTAGGTGTATTATTTAATGATGAATTAATTGTTCACATCTTTACTTTCACACAATAGCTTTAAAAATTATCACCACCATCATCAACAATGCAAACAGCATCATTTTCAAACCATCACTACAATATTTATCATTTATTTAATAATTTTTAATATCTCATTAGTAGTTACAAATATATACAATTATGATAATCAGCAGGGTTATTAATACATACAGCATTTGACTGAGGTACTGTCCAGACTTTGATGGTTGAATCTTGGCTTCCACTGACTACAAACTCATCTCCTGTTCTGTATTTGAAATAAGCCAGAAGATTAATAAATGTGTGAAAAAGCAAGAATTGGAAATAGAACATAAAACATTTAGTGGGGGATCCAGTCCACAGGGTCTTGCTATTGATGTTAAGGGTATTTCGTCCTCATAGTTTCATACTTGATGAAATATATTATTATTATTATTATTATTTTATTATATTATAATTAAAATGATAATTATTATTATCATTTAAAAAAACTCATTAATACTTCATGAAGAAACACAATACAAATCATGACCATGAAGGAGGTTTTATATCTGATATAGATTCAACTTCATTTGCATAAACTTTAACTTGGATTTTCTCTATCAAACTTGGTTCATTTCGTAAAGAATTCGGTACGATACGAGAACATACATCATGAGTTTTTTTAAGCCATTTGGCTGTGCCTCGTGTTTTATACCCGATAAAACACTCCTGCTCATTTATTTAACAGTGTATAATATTTCAATTATTATATAAATTATCATTATTATTATTAATATCATTATAATAATGTAATATTATTATATCAACCAGCCTTGACCATGCTACTGTACTGACAGCATGAGTGTGACCTTTACCAACAGCAACACAGCTGTAGTGGTTTGCTGTATCCATGTTCCATATTCTCACTTCATTATCCTAAACATGTTCAAAGTGAAGTTGAGTGATCAGGTGAAACACAGTCATATAACTTATCGTTCTTGGTAACTAATCTATATCTAAATCTAAAGCTTTAATCTTTAAAAGTTCCCCATCACTTCAGATATAATATAAACAAACCAACCAACAAGTGTGGGTAGACAGGGTTTGAACCATCAATATTTATTATATTGGTCATTGATTACAACAAAAACCACAACAAAAATAATTTTTTGTACCTTAAGAATGACAACTACTACGATAATATTTACAAAATGTAATAATTTAAAAGAATAAACTAAGGTACTGGCCTCAACAAATAACTTAAAAGCATGCTTTCATTGAGTTTTGGGTGTTTGCAGGAGGTTGCTAAGCACAAAATAAGCATACATGTACACCAAGTGCAACGCTAGCTTATTAGCTGCTTATTTTTCCTACGAAAGTTCAGATTCCGAACATTAATTTCAATTGATTGATAAGTTCGAGACACCATACAGATGTCAGTGGAGTTGATTCACATACTATTTCTTTGATTTGATTGGTTGGGAGTTTGCATATTAATTAGGGGGTGGTAGGAAAAATCGAGGCGGTTCATTGTAGGCCCTACCTTTCCTCTCTTCTTCTCCCCAGTCCCCCTACCCTTCCTCTCCCCAGTCCCCCTTCACTTTGGGCCGCTACACAGGCTATATTATTATTGTCTTTTTTCTTTCCTATTTGCATTCCTGTAGTTAATGTAAAATTATTCTGTTTAAAGCAACCAAGGCAGTCTTACCTTTGAGCCAGTAACAATCTTGCATCCATCAGTATTCACATCAAGAGATAACACGATATTGGAGTGCCCAGACAGGATCCTACAGTCCAATGTATCCATCTCATATATTCTTATATCATTACTATTAGTAGCAACAGCTAGATGTTTATTGTCAGGTCCAGCAAAGCACATGTCCAAGATATCATCATTATATCCTACAAGCTGTAGTAAAAGAACATTTATTTATTACAACCAGTGTTAACCTGCTATCAACTTGACAATGATGAACTACTGAAACTAGAAATACCCCAGCCAATACCAATAACCCACTGGTCAACAAAATACCTACATTCTACAGACAACCTACTCTACCCTACCAGCACCTTACCAACAACCCAATGGCACCCTATTAACAACTTACAAACACAACACCCCACAGACATCCTAACAACACCTTACAAATGACCAATTGAAACCATATCAAACACTATACCAACAACCCACTGACATTCTACCAGCAGCTTAACAACCAAATGACACTCTACCGACAACCCACTGCTATCCTTTTTGTATTATGGCACGAATAAAGTGCATTAAAAAATGATGTAAAAGTTTACTTATTATAACTGGCACTTCATATAACATACAAGACTAAAAACTATAAATTATTGAATTATTGAATCACCTGTTTTGTTTTCTTGAGTGTCTGTAGATCATACATCATGATATTATGATCAAAAGTGACGACTGATAACATGTTCTTCTTTTCACATAAAGTAGCATGAACAATATGCTGTGAATTGTCATCATCAATGTTCAAGCTCTCCTTCACAGACAGTGTGTGGACACATTTGCCAGTTTTTAGATTCCAGAATCGAAGCTGACCTGCGAATGAAGAACCAAATAAAAATATGTCACTGAGAGAATCTGAAATCAACTCTATGGAGCAACTGCACATGGCTATAGATCCCTTGCAGCAAGTTGGAAGGCAGCTGAATTTGGAGGACATAACAACAGGTTTTCAATTCTAACAAGATTAGAATTGAGAAAAGAATTTTGTTTTGTCCTCCAAATTGAGCTCCTATGATGTCACATGCAAGGGGTCTATAGACCAGTGCCGGCTTTGCTTGAGTGTCAACCCGTGGCCAAAAAATGAATAGTTTTCCCAGTGGAATTAATACAAAATCTTCAACCAACAAACTGGAATTTATAAGAATTTTTAGTACTGTATTAATATTTTATCAATGTTTTTCTTGATATACCTATACCTAATTAGAATGCATTGATTCTAAGACAGACATTTTATAATTTTCAGCAATTGGTGTCTGTTCCATGCTGTATATCAAAAGCACATTTTTAAGCTTGTCTGACCTAGCACCATTCTTACATGTAGTATATGAAGTAGTGACCAGATTGATCAAAGCTGGTAAAAATTAAGCAAGCTGAAGGAACGACTGAATGATGTTAGCTGTACACAGCATTTAATATCTGCAGTGTAAAATGTATATGTACATGTACAGTACATACAATGTAATTACAATACAGTAATTCTTATCTTACTTTCATGCGGTAAAGTAAAATATTCCTGCTTTAATTTCTATGTTACCTTTACTTCCTGCAGTAATAAAGCATTCTCCATCTTTATCACTAAATCCAGGCAGGCTCTGGTCTCCTGTTACCATGACAACTGATTCTACGCCCTAACAAAGTAAAAATGTGTATTTTAAAAACATTTCTTACTAGTGCTTGAGCATGTAGCTTGGGACTACACTTATACAATTCAAACTTGAATATAGATATTTCAAAAATGGCTGAACGCGCAAATGGTGATAGGTAATAAGTGATAGGAGATAGGTCATTCCAAGATCCAAGAATAGCGAAAACAGGAAATACTTTTAATTAATTGATTACTAGTATTCTCCCCAAGAAGATGTATGTTATTGCTGAGATATTTTGTGTTGTTTGTAGTTGACGAAACCATTTAAAATATCTTGATTATTTATATATTTAGATGTACTGTATGCCCACAGCTCCTTTTTGGTTGGGAAATATTGCCAATCATCATTAACCATTTAACAGTGCATCTTTTTTTGAAATGGCTGTGTCATGATGCAAAACATTAAGCAGGTACTGCATAGCTTGGTGTTTTGATAGGACAGGTTCCGAGCCTAAAGAGATAGGCACCTCATCCTAACTACAATACTGTACCTGGTACTGTGCAATTAGAACAAAGTGTTCTATGTTACATCTACCAATATTCCGCTCTGCAYGCTATCTATGTGATCACGCTACCTCGACCTTAAATTCGGCCAGCAATAATTGTTTGCATTATGATATTTGCTATCGCTAGCCTGTGGCAACCACACACTAAACGCTATATTTCGTTTTTTTTCTCACTCTCTTTCCTTATGGTACAGTAGATATATAGTTATATAGGTAAGTATTCCACTGACCAGACCATCAGTGTGACAGGTGCACAGTGAGTTGTGACAGGGTTGCCACGGTCACAGTGATTTTATGTGGAAGGCCCCTCTCATCCTACCGAACAAGCACCTAACACCAAGCTAATCTACTGTACTATAGTGATGAGTTTAATTTTATATTAAGAAGATCAAAAAAATATGGCTTGTTTAGGGCTATTCAATAGGTTTCAGAATGAAACCTTTGACCAGTCCAACTAACCTCATAACATGGTATTGTTCTTGGTGGTTTTCTGTTTGGTTGATGAATGTTTTCAAGATCCCACATGTTAAGGACATTATCTCTACTTGAACTGTGGAAAGACAAAAGCCAATTACTAACAGGATCTAAAAAAAGTATTTTTTTTCGCAATCACTGAGTTGGTTTGCTCCTAGAACTTTTGGAATCATGAGAAACAGTGAGTGTGCATTTCATACTCACCTTATCATTGTCTTATGGGATGAATTGAATGCAAGAGATGTGACGACACTAAAATGACTCTCTAGAACCACTATACACCTGGGGGGAAAATCCATAATAGTGCATAATTTGTTATAAGTAATAACACCATGTAGAATATATATTCCTTATTATCATTAAGACCTGCAAATTATTTCTTATTTACTTAAACCATCTGAACTGACTCCTCACCTACTCTTGTTAAGATCCCAGATTCTTATTTTACAATCATCAGAAGCAGAAAAAAGCTGCAATACCTCGGAGTTAGGATGAAACTGTACCAGACTAGATGTAAGGAAAAAACCTCACTTGAGTTACACTCGCTTCAAAAAGTTGATAAGCAATAGTTGGTAAGCAGTAGTTGATAAGCAGTATAGTGTAGTTGGTAAGCAGGTACCGGTAAGAAGTGGTAGTTGGTAAGCAGTACAGTGTAGTTAGTAAGCAGTGGTAGTTGGTAAGCAGTACAGTGTAGTTAGTAAGCAGTGGTAGTTGGTAAGCAGNTAAGCAGTACAGTGTAGTTAGTAAGCAGTGGTAGTTGGTAAGCAGTACAGTGTAGTTAGTAAGCAGTGGTAGTTGGTAAGCAGTACAGTGTAGTTGGTAAGCAGTGGTAGTTGGTAAGCAGTGGTAGTTGGTAAGCAGTACAGTGTAGTTAGTAAGCAGTGGTAGTTGATAAACAGTACAGTGTAGTTGGTGAGCAGGTATCGGTAAGCAGTGGTAGTTGGTAAGCAGTACAGTGTAGTTAGTAAGCAGTGGTAGTTAGTAAGCAGTGGTAGTTGGTAAGCAGTACAGCATAGTTGTTAAGCAATAGTTGGTTTCAAGCTGTAGTGGATAATTATGCTTTAGTTGGTAAGCATTACATGTACAGTAGTTGGTAAGCAGTAGTTAAGTACAGTATTACTAGTAAGTGTAATAATAAATCAGTATTGGCAGAGCTGTGTCAGTATATTAGATGCTATATTGAATCAGATATTATTTATTATTATGTTGATGTTACTGTAGTTAATCCATTAAGAAAGTTTTGATAATAGGAATAAGCAGTGAAATACCACCATACTGCATATTGTGAATGAATGAAATGAAAAACTGAACTAGTACCCTGTGTTTCAAGTTCTGTATTTTTCAAGAAGAGATTTCATAGACCTCTTTAGTTTGTTGTGCACATTTTAGTTCATGTGATTTTTAGGACTTGATTCTTTCATGTGTAAATGTTTTAACATGTTCGTCATAAAAGAACAGTTCTCAAGGGAATGTCATGTGATTTGAAATGAGCAATTTGCATACGAAGCTAAATAGGTCTATTGACATCGTGCTTATATCTCCTTTGAGCCATTTTTAAAGAGATTGGGCAGCGTAGAGAGGCCATTTGTAAAACATTCTGAATGGCGTAGTCAGAGGAAGGCACGATTATGGCATGAGTTGCAGTTGGAGCTGTTTGTGAAGAGAGAGTTGATGTGTGCTTTATCTGGTCATTTAAAAGAAAACAATTTGAAACTAAAAGTAAAGCTTAGCTGTTGTATCACTTTGAAATGCTACTAACAATATATTATTTATTTACCTAACAACACCTTTGGATCCCTTCAGGTTGTGTGTGTAGTACTGTTTTACAATATCCCAGACTTTTATTGTACTATCACTTGACCCTAAAAGATAATGAGAGATCTGACAGTAAGTAGCTTCCTTTTTTGTTATTTGTCCATGCTTGTTCCATGTTCTGTTCAGTCAAATGTTATAGCACACAGGAGGGGCACGAAAAAATACACATTTACTGCAGTAAATGTTCTGCTAACTCAAACATTTCATGGCTCGTTGTGAAATTGGTTTTTACTACTGCCAGTCAAGAACATTACTGACTGATTATCTTTGATTCATGGCAGAAACGTGCAGCTCGTAACTACTGAGTTTGCAGAATATCAAAAACCACAGTAAATGAGTTAGCTAAAGTGTAGAATTTAACTCAAAAGTTAAAATTTTTACACTTCTTTGTCGAGCCAACATGAAGTGCAAACTTATGTAAAATGAGTACTTACTGAGCTAACTGGAATTAAGCATAGGTTTGGACTAATCATACAGTACAGCCCAGATGTATGTCACGGTGTCCACGCTAGTAACACGGGTGTACTCCATTAACTTGTACTAGTGTAGTCAGTGCTTTGAGACATGGACGCACTACAGTGAGTGTAATATTCTTTTGTTAAGCAGTCTTTGTTTCATAACAAAGATCATAGAAATTCCGTATAAATATCATTTATATTCCATGCGTACGCGTGTATTCCGTTCAACTGGATTAATCCAAACGATTTCAAATCAGAGATATACAATATCATGTATTGTTCAACTGGATAAGAGAAACCCAAACGATTTTTTTAATTTTTGCTTTGAAAACAAAAACCTCTAAAAAATAAATTAAATGTTTGATCAAACAAAGAAATATTAAAGAAACGCGTATATTTAAAAAGTTCTGTATTCTTTCATGCATCTACGCATCACGCCAAGTATTCTGCGTGCATGGTGGAATGCAACCGAAATAGTCTGCATTTTAATTATCCTGTCCATTTTATTTTAGAAATTTGTCTTTATTTAGATAATTGAGACCAAAGAACAACTGCTTTATTGTTTATCGGATAGTTCTCGTAATTTATATACGTATCTTAGCATCCAAGAATTACTCTTTTATTTGGTCGTCAGATGTAGCTGTCTGAAGTTCTGTGCATGTGAGAATTGCAACTAAGTCCGGGCAGGTAGTTCGGGTAAAGATGAAGGAGTATTTTTTGATTCTAGGATTCAGACCATCAAAACTACAAAATAATTAATTAGTAGAATCAGGTTGGCTCAAGTTTCTATTCAAACACTCGTCTTAAAAATAAACTCCGAACGTTAACAGTTTGATTATTGAAGAGGCGCCAAAGCCTATCACGGCAAATTACACTTGAAAGTTTTTTTTGTTTCAATATTCTTTTTATGAAAATTTAAGTGTTGCTAGAGGAGCCACAAACTTTATCATTAAAAGAATATGATCTTATGCTACATGCCACACGTCAAGTCAAAACATCAGAAGTGTTTTATGTAGGAAAAGAAAAACATCTGTGTTATCGCCTATTCAGCGGTCAACAAAAACATTACGAATCCCTCAGGAATCAGACTGAAGTTAATGAGCTATTTGGCTGCGTGTAATTTTGCCAAGTTGTTAGAGTGGACTACATGCAGATGGACGGACTACACTAGTATGAGTGTACTCCGTTAATGGAGTGCACGTGTGTTACACGTGCCTTACCGTCACATACATCTGGGCTGTACTGTAGGATGCATCCACAGTGCATAGCACAGAAAAAGCTGTTAGTTGTTTTGTTTAATTATTATTTAACAATTATTATTAGTTATCTATTTACTATTTATTATGATTTGAACAACGAGAGTGTGATAGTTTGGGTAACAATGAAGTTTAGAAGTGACAGGGTTGTAGCACACCTAGCAAATCATACAAACCTGTTGCAAGAAGAGTTGACGTTGAGTCAAACACCATTGAAGAGATTGGAGCGACATGGATGGCCTGAAATAATGCCATACAATAAAAAACTAATGAAGAAATAGAAAATGTGCGCATATGCTACGTGCAGTTATAAAGCACACTGGGGTTTGCAGAACATAGCAGAGTGCTTCTAGACACTTCTCAAGTGTTCTGCCAATCCCCAAATGCTTTATAACTGCATACAGCACAGCAAGCAAGTTTCTTTTTTCTTTTATAAGATACAAATTAAAATAACCATTATTTTTGATAAGAATGATGCAACTGAAAGTGCATATGCGTGCTGTGTGCTCTCATAAAGCACACACTCCCAACCAATCAGAACGCAAGATTTATAACAGTTATTTTATAATTCATGTTGGAAGTAGAAAAAGTTACATGTAGAGGGTTTAACATTTTTTACCTTCCAGGTTTTTGTCTGCTTGCCTTCCTTCCAATCCCACTGTCTCAAGAGCAAGTTCTTACCAGCTGTCACTAAATACTGTAAACAAAATAATGAAGTTTAGTTAAGTCAAGGACCTGACAAACTGGACTGCTTAGTATTAAATATAAAAATATTTAAAATATTAAATATAAATATAATTTAGCAGTACAGTTTTAGTACCTATTTTTATTTTTCGTTTACTTACCTTTTATCTGTACTTGCTATAATTATTAATATTGGTTTTTAGATTTTCATAGATTTTATATGATTTTTCTTACTATCGTTGTAACCTTCAATATGTTGTTTATTCATTGAATAAAGACCCATTAATAATAATAATTATTATTATTATTTTATTATTATTAGTGCATTGAGCTTTGGTCTGTTGTTTTGGGCATCAAGGTTTCAGTTCACCTTATAGCTTAACTAATGCTTAGGCTCTTTAGTAGAGTCTAAGATGCTACCTATGCTCTAATGTCTGCCAGTGTTTAACCTAATTTGCTATGCACATGTTAGAAAATAATTTTCTATAAAAAGTGCAATTCTCCTTTATGGAATATGGAGCTGGAAGAACTTAAAACCTAGAGCAAGCTGTCTTTGTGACTTACTTGATCATCAGGAGAAGAAGCAAAACAAGAAATCACATCTCCTTCCTAGAACAAATAATATAGAAACTCAATAACATTGCAGTCTAAAATTTAGACATGGCTACTTTAATTAATAGTGATCATTCATTAATACTGGGAGGATACCATAGAATTCTGCCTAAAAGTACCCCCCCCCCCCCCAATTAGAAGTCCCCTTATTGATCGGGTGCATTGACAAACCCATCAGAATATAGCCTTTCTGAGCACATTCCATTTTAAAGGTTTTAATGTTATTGTTGTTCAACTGTCCAATTATTATTATTTGGAAACATTCATTGCAAAATTCCAAGCCCCCCTTATGTATTAGTGAATGAAATAAATTTCATTTTCCTCTCCCCATTATCTCACCACTCGGCACAACCCCTTCCACCTCCACATACAGTATAATTGGGCAAATGAAAGAATGGAATAACAACTTTTCTGTCGTATCAGCATATAATTTCAGATATATATGACTGTAGATAATTTTTGGTTATTTTTTCACCTCTTCCAAAGAATGGACAATTTTTCCACTGTCAACTTGAACAACCTGAACCTTTTCAGTGCATAAGCAGAAGACATACTCCTCATCTCCTGAAAACTATAATTAAATAAAAACTATAGAATTAGGAACAGGATATCACATAACAATTGAGACTGATAGATAGGCTAGTGTGATCCATGAAGTGTTCAAAAAACCTAAATGCCTATTGCTTTATTGGTATTAATCTAATGAGTTTAATTCCAATACTAGTCACCTTAGTGAAGGGCAGATAAGGTATTTGAGTGTGTGGGAGGGTATCCGGTCTTTTTGCTACCTTGCACTTTCGCTACTTACCTAAAAGGTCGATTTGCTACTTAATAGAAGTTGATTCGCTCCTAATAGAAGTTGATTCGCTACCTCATCTCAAATGTTAAATATCACAATATCAGGAATATATATTACATATATATTAATTTTGAGTCTATATCGATAAATTTAAATTGTGTTTTAATTACGGCGTCGAAACTTATAAATTTTCTGTTCAGATGTCAATCGAGTAATCTAAACCTAGCTAAAAGAGGATATTTACATCTCATTTACGTGCGAGTTAACGACTAATAAAATCTTGTGTTCAATGAAGAACTTTTTTGACAAATAAAAAGTTTTAGTTTTAGTTTTAGAAGAAATCTAGTCGAGTTTTTCAGAGTTATTTTGGCTTGCTTCATAGTAAAGTTGCGATTGGACTCTCGAAAGCTAAGAGAAACGAAGGCTTATTTTTATCCCCGCTTTTGCTCGATGACTAAAAGTTTAACTTCAAAATAAAAGGGTTTATGTCAAGGAAGAGTTTTAGTTACGAAACAAGCAATCTAGTGAAGCTTTTTTTTAGATTTTTTTTTTAGCTTCGTAGTAAAGTAGCGAATGGACTCCCGGCGTGAGGCGTTGTGTGGTATTCATTTATTCGTTGTCACACAACGCCATAAGTCTGTTCGCTGCTTTACAACGAAGCTAAAATAACTCCACTAGGTTGCTTTTTTCGTAACTAAAATTCTTCCTTGACTGCATGAATATCCTTCAAAACATTTTCTAAGAAAAGAGAGAAATCAAGAAACCTGTTCGATATAACAGATTATGAGACGGATATTCCGCCGACTTGTCCATTACGCCAAATACGCTTTGAAATTTCTTTCTTCAAAAAAACATTCAAATAATAACAAATTACTTAGAAATACTGATAATAAATGATCCAAAATGTTATAGAGGAGGTTTACAGGCATCTTGAGATAAAGTAGCCTGATTGTGCTACCTCAAGGTAGCGAATCGAATTCTATGAAGTAGCGAATCCACTTCTATTAGTAGCGAATGTGCAGTAGCGAAAGTGCAAGGTAGCGAAAAGACCGTAATTCTGTGGGAGTCGGTGGGGAAGGTTAAAAACATACAATGAAACTATGGAATAAGTAGACAATTCCATTGGTCCATTATCCAGAGAATAGAAGACAAGTGAAAGTCCTCGGATGACTAGCAAGGGAATCTATATGGGGTATATCCTCAATGTGATGGGGAAAATACTGTAGAAGGTAATACATTTATTGGTCCATATTGTCATGAACTGTTATTTACCACTCTTTTCATTGCTACACGCTGATCAAGACAACAGAAATGACAGGGAAATTGTGCAATACACTTCTGTCAATCAAATAAATTTATTGATACCTTTATATTGTCTGATTGGCGGCAATGTATTGCCCTATTTCCCTGTTGCGACTGTTGTCTCCATCACCTTATAGCAGTGAAAAGAGAAGTAATATTAAATGTTTTCAAGCACATTTCATATCGATAAAAATTATCACAAAGACTGTGTTATTTAAGGGCATTGTACCAGATTGCATGTCAGATTACCGTTTATCTAATCAAAATACTCAGACGCTGTGAAATCATGTCACATAATTTATTTATATTGTACTTTTTATTGTGGAATCATAGAAAAGAGTGCTGGTGAATAGCAATTATTAATCTAAGTCTTAAAGTGCCTATGACCCTTATTTTTTACTTTTTTATATTGAAATATAAGCTATTCTAAGAAATGTGTCAAAATATTTTTTTGATTCTGACGCTTCTTTCTATTTTTTCGGGCGATCAAAAGTGCAAAAATTGGCATTTCTTTGACCTCTGGCCGCGTGAAATGATAACCTAGGGGACTGGGCTGTGACGTCATAGTAGTGAATTGGGTTTAGATGCTTCCTCATTCTCTCTAGATTTCACTAGTATTTATGACCAATTTGCCATTTTTTTACACCTTCAAAAGGCCTCATATTTGTGGTTAGAGGATGTTAAATACTTCAGACTTCAGGAATGAAATATTTTTTGAGTTATTTTAAGAAAAAGAGAAGCAGCGAGAAGTTAAACACAACCCAGGGAAAACCTAGTCTCCCCCACAGCCACTTTCAGTGTCGTCATGCAACGCTTTCTCCCCTGAGTAGAAACTGGAAAACTTTTTTAAAAAGCGTAGTTTAGACTCATGGAAGTTAAACGAGACGACTCAAGATTTAAGAGATTGAATTCGAATATAAAGTCCGACAGTATTTTTAATAAACGAAGAAGATGAGCCGCGCAGATCACTTATTTTAAACAACAAATGCAGTGTAAAGCTAAAGAAAATCGAAAAAAGGCTAGATAACTATTAAATCTGACACTGTCACAGCGTTGACTTCTACGGGTATTCATTGTAAACTTCTGGGTAACGCTCACAGTTCTGGTATTAACTTCGCGTATACTGCGATGATTAGCTCAAATTTGATACTGTTAGAAAAGTTGTTTTGTTTTGTTTTGTTCACACTGTTAGAAAAGTCGTGAAAAGTGAACACGAATCGTTAGCTAAAGCGTTATCTTATGGCCAACCTTCTAACGTCGCATTAGCAGTTTATATGAAATATCAAGAACTCCTGTTATTCAAAAAGTCCTCAAGCTTGTCTCGAAAGAAATTACTGGGCTATGCTCTAGAGCGCCAATATTTTATTCCTTTGAGCCATTTCCCATATCYAGTAGGCAGATTTTCAAAGAAATCTTGTTTTTCTTGTAAAATCTTTCGTATGGCGTCTTTCTGATGATCATTAAACTGTTTGATGCGAAATTTCTTAGCTGCTATCTCAAAGCCTTCCTCTAACGACGCATCTTGTTTTCCATGTGGCGCGAATGGTTCCTGGATTTCGAGAACTAAGCCGTGATTGGTTAATTCATAGGAAAGGAATGTTGTGCTCGGGTAAGCAGCCGCTACTCAGGGGAGAAAGCGTTGCGTGACGACACTGAAAGCGGCTGTGGGGGAGACTAGGGAAAACCTCATACTAAGGTTGTCACGCTCAGAATCAAGTGTAATAAATTAGCTTCAAAAACTTATATATTTCACATACAGTAACTCTGAGCACTACATGTACCTACACCCTTTAACTCATAGATTTTTTAGCATTTATTCTTATTAATATCTCATGTATTTATGGATGAATATGCGAGTCCATGCCGCGCAAAATCCTTCCAGGTCGTTTCCAAGTCAGAAACATTAAATATAAACAACAGAAACAATGAAATAACTCCAGGTAGTTCACAAAATCTTTTTCAATGTAGATGGCTTCTTCGCTTAACAGTTTTCAAAATATAAACATGAATTGCATTATATATTTATACTGTAGTAGTTCAGTCGAGGAAGGGTGCGTGACACTTCGTATCATCAGTCTAGAGTTATCTGTTACTCTGCAGGTCAACATGGTTTCACTTCATAGTCGAATATAATATTTTCTACTCTATCAGTTTTCTATCCTGTCTTTGAAGATAAAACGATCGTCTATCGAGGGAAATTCAAGTAAAAAATCAGTAGTAGTTCAGTCGAGGAAGGGTGCGTGACACTTCGTATCATCAGTCTAGAGTTATCCGTTACTCTGCAGGTCAACATGGTTTCACTTCATAGTCGAATATAATATTTTCTACTCTATCAGTTTTCTATCCTGTCTTCGAAGATAAAACGATCGTCTATCGAGGGAAATTCAAGTAAAAAATCTACAGAGCATTCTATGGTAGCAAAGCATTAAAATATTGTGACTAGTAGTATTATCGTAGACATCGTACAGGTTATTTTGTCTCAACCATTTATTACAGCCCTTTTAACATTGCACTAAATATTTCTAAAGAGCTTAATAATCACTGAAATGTTACCACACTCACCAAAACTGTTTGATAAACCGGGATAAACCTCCCTAAGTTTCCTGTCAAATTCAGGGTTTCTACTTTCATATTGACCGAAACTGGTCATTATGGTCGTCAAAAAAACAATACACGAGCTGACATGATAATTGAAACAGGAACTCAGTGCAATTAATTATATCTTTTGTCATAAATAGGGTCTACAAATTTGATTTTTTTTGACATAAACAGGGTACCCCTTTCAGAATCCCAGCGGAACACCCATACCCAAATCCTGGCGGAGGACCCCCCTGGGAGTAAATTAGGCTACGAATCCTGATGAGAACTGGAAATGGAATATTTAGATAATGAACTTCCTCATAGAAGCCCAAGAAAGCAGTTAAAAGTCCAAAGACTGCTAAAAAAACCCCAAGAAACACAAGGAAGTTTTCAGTATCCGATACATTTCTTTGCAAATCAAGAAGAACGTGTTGCTACTATGACGTCACTAGCCCAGTCTCCCCTGTCGCTCGGTCATGTTTTGGAATCTTCCTATTTTTGCACTTTTGACCGTTCGAAAAAAATAGAAAGAAGCGTTAGAATCAAAAAATTCTTTCAACACGTTTCTTAGAATAGCTTATATTTCGATATAAAAAAGTAAGAAAATAAGGGTCATAGGCACTTTAATAATCTTCAGACTAGATTGCTAGATCAAAATAGCACAATACACCTAGCTAAAGGGTGCAGCTGAATATACAGGTTTTTTTAAAAAAAAGGTTGGTGAAGGCTTTGAATGCCCAAATAGACCTCCTCAGCTCAGGCGTAATGTTTTCCCATTTTAAATCACGTGTTATTCACTTGAGATCAAGATTATTTGTTGATTTGTATCCATATTCATGTGCCGATCTTTTCATGGGCAACCATTAAACAAAGAAATAATGCTCTAGGGAATGACATGTGGTCTGAAATGGCGATCCCAACAATATAGAATTTTCCAAAACTTTGTCTTTACGTTTTTCTGGCATACCTTCTTTTGTGATGACATTATTTACATATTAATATAATAATTTCAAACTAAGTCTGCAACAAGCAAGCAGCATGAAACAAAACCTTCACTAATCCTTTTTGATGGCTGTCTAATATTGAATTGACTGCCTCAGTTGTATCTTACCTGAATTTTCCCTCCAGTATACAGGGCCTCGATCTTTGAGGTAATCTCATAGCTAGTGTAATATATATATATATATATAAAGACATGTTAATAACGTACTTGATCTACACGCTGGCCTTATAAGTCAAATCTGCGAACAAAACAACCAAACATCTCACAGTATCTGACTTACTTTGACTTCAATATTGTTGTGGATGATGAAGACATTGTGTAAAAATATTATTACTAAAAATACAGAGCTTAAAACGATTACTGGACAAGAAATACAAGCTGATTTTATGGAGACGACCTTCAGAGAACTGTTTCTTCATCCGCCATCTTAGTTGTTGCACGTGCTTTCAGGACCTCTCCACATTCTTTACCACAGGTAGCCCAAACTTGGAAACACTAGATGTCATGACTGAACTAGAAAGTGCATATTATATTACAACCATCAAAATAGGATGCTAAATAGTACCAACACTAATAATAATAATAATAATAATAATATTTATTTATAAAGCGCAAATACAAATCTGTTCTAAGCGCTAGTAAACAAACGACAAAGACAACGACAAAATAAAATAATTTACAAAGAATATGCTAATTTGAAGAGATAAGTTTTAAGTTCAGTTTTGAATGAGGCAAGACT